TTTATTTGGCACTTTTATTGCTCGTTCATATCATTGCTCGTGTCAAATGACGATCTTTTTTTTTCTGTCGGTTGAACCGACCCGGTTTCACTGTGTGATCGGTGAATTTTGATCATTGACTATCATATTTCATTAAATCTAGACGAACGATCGATTTCATAGACTTTTGAAACACTCACCGTTTTTCGTCCTGTTTCACAAGATGCAACAACTGATTATGGCCACAAGGAATACATGTGCATTGTGCATACCACCAATGAAGCGCAACTTTGTTCAGGATGATCAACAAAAAATGCCGTTGTTTTTAGCACTTGAAACAAACTTGCGCCCGATGAAACTCCTCGATAAAGGATGGTTAACGAAAATAACAAAGATACACGTCAATAAAAATGTTTACCGCTCAAAAGATGTTATTAAATTTAATATCCTGAACCAAATCGATTCCATTTCATTAAAAATCATCGTGTTGATGTTAACACAATAGCTGAAAAATAAAAATAAAATGCAAAGCGCAAAGCGCAATGCGTGTTATGTAATGTGCGTTTTTTTTTTTCTTCGGTATATTATTAATCGGTAATATGTGTAGTGATACACGGAAATGGTATCACGCAACGAAAAGACAATAAAACGTCAAAATGATGAAATGTCGGGTTAATAAAATAATAATTTCAAGTACAAAAAAAAACAACGAATAATCGGAGCGAGGCGAAAAGTCTCGCCATTGGCCAAGGACAATCTAATGGTTCCGTTGCTGCGCTTTCGTCACAAACAATTGGCCGTTTGACGTAACAATGCAACGAAAAATGCAGAGAAACAAGCGAGAGGGCTGTCCGATTTTGAAGAATTCCGCTTGAAGTGCAGATGCACCTGCTGCTCTGCTGTCCACGATCTTCAATTTAATTTGCTTCAAATTGTTTACTCACATTATCTTACACATGTTCGGCAAACGATATTTTTTTGTTTGGTTTTGCTCTTGAATTTATTTTAATTTCATCAATTTTTGCACTGGCCGCGTGAAAATGTTTGTAATTTCACACTGTTGACGGTGCGTACAGAAAAGAGCCGACAAAAGAGTGCAAGGTAGAGAAGGACAGTGAGAGAAAGTGTAAGAGATAGAAATGAAAAAAAAAAACTCTGATGAGAGCGATAGAGACAGCGAAAGAGAAAATGTATCTGGAATTCATATGACTCATTCCATTGGCATAACTAAATTAATATTTTCACATCTCTTTACAACTAATCAGGCTTCATATCAAAACATTTCAATCGATTTGTGTTTCATTTATTCCAATAACTCTTATCGTAATCGGAATGATTTGAGTTGGTTTGCGGTCTCCTTGATACGTTCAAGTTTCGGAGATTGAAAGAGGTTTTTGATTACAATCAGCGGCAGATCCTAATTGGATTTCTCGTCTCTCTCTCTCTTTGCATTTCTCTTTGAAGAAGTGGAAGAAGTGGACTTTACTCAAACTCTCACCTGATTCATCGACCAAAATAGCCACTTTTCTTTTCGTGGAATGAATTTTAAGCGGTTTGTTAGGCTTCATCGACACTTCATTTTTTTTATCTCCTTGTTCGCCTATTATTATAGTAATTCATTATGAAGAGTCGATTATAATTGTGGGAATCGATTGGAAAAACCGTGCAATTGACACCGTAGATGTATGTTGATTGAAGCGTACGCTTGATTTTTGCACGACTCTTTCTTCAGCTACAAAATGTCGTCTTTCGTTCGGCTTGAAAAACGTGTGAGAGTGTGTCTAGTATGACCTAGAAAGGAATTGTTATTACATCAAATGAAAGGAGAGGAGAGAAAAAAAGCGGCAAACTATTAATTTGTGGAATAAAAACGGTCCAATTTAATCGATTGACATCACCGTCAATCCCGTGTACAGTGTACACACAAAAACATATCATTGACAACCCGCTTCTGACAGAAGCATACAAATTATAGCCGCAGAACTGCCGAGTTTCATGATCTCTGTAATTACAAAAGTAAATCATCATCATTATTTTCTAATTAATTATATTTATACATGTTGTTGTTGTTGTTGTTGTTTTTCGTTGTGCTGTTGTCGAATAATCAATGTGAGAAGCGTGAACGTGTGCCCGTTTGTATCGATGTCGGCCTGCATGACTGACTAAAGATTGCATTTTAATGTCCATTTGCATCAAATCATGTGAAGAGATGTATTGAGAGAGGGAAAAAACTAAAACGACAAACAATTTTTTTCTTCTAAAATTAAACGCTTACTTGGTTTTTATTTCAATTTTCCACGTTTAGTTTAATAGATAATTAAAGCTGAACAATTATCCTAAACGTTAGTTTGCCTCCCATTTTACTTTTCGTTTGTATTATTACAATCGCTCGATTTTTTTTCTCCACTTTTGTGTTATTGTTGTTGTTTTTTTTTAAATACGCGTTCGTTACCATTTCGTGTTTGAAAAGCCCAAACTTCAAGTGGCTGACAGAGATTTGGCTGGCCACATTCGTTATAATTATGGTAAATAAAATCATGGAAATGAAGAAAGCTCGGAGAAGTGATCCGTGTGCAATTGAAACGGGAGAAAGAGAAAAGTGTGACGGCAAAACACCACACAGCTATGAAAATAATGGCGCGTTTGCGGCAACGCCAGCAGCTATTCAAATTTCAAATTCGAAATCAACACTTTAAGTAATTTCAGCTCGGCAAGAATCAACTGGCCAATGCTGCTCTCCAACATTTACGCCATAAACAAGCGAGAGTCGAACTAAAAGAGCGGATAATTTGAATTGAAAAAAAGGCAGCCGCTAACCTTTTAATATATTTAATGAGTATATTGAATTGTCTCATAAAATTTCAAAAAACGAACGAGAAAAAATCGTCAAGAAAAGTAAAAAAAAAGACAGTTGCTGCTGTAATTCGATGCACAATTACTTTCTATGCTACAATTTACTGTATTTGCATGCGGCTTACTCTTGTTTCCATCCACATTCAAACGGCCGAAACACTCCATTAAATCCGATCGATTTTATTTAATGTAGGATTTTCGTTCTCGTTAATAACTGATTAACGACAATTGCAGGAACAAAAAAAAAATAATTACTTCGATCAATGAAACCGAGTATTTATTTATATATATGTGCAATACATATCGATTTCGTGAATGAGGTTTTTTTTTTCGTTTGCAAAATGTGCAGGTGCCGGTTTTTTTTTCGCGCGCATGCTGGCTCACTCGTTGAACCAATAAAATCAACTGCAACACCCACACTCACACTCACATGCACCGCAAAGCTAATCACAACGAATTAAAACCACTTTATCGCATTATTTAGCTCTTTTGCGGTGTGCGCCAAGAAGTATTTTTATGTAAATAAATATCAGAAAACCCACATTAATTAAAAACCCTCACGGTGATTAAACGACCCACTCAGTTTAACACTTTAAGCATTTTGCTTTACATAATTCATACAATGAAAGAAGCAAAAAAAAAACTCGATTTCAAATTACCTGATTCTAAAAGATTGTGCTTTTTTTTCGTCGTATCTCGAAATGCGCTTTGAGCGCAACAACAAAATGTGCAACGTCATTTTCAAACAGCCTTAGATGTTGTTTGCTAAATAAATGCGAATTTCAAACTTCAGTCTCTTTCGTTTTTTTTTTCGTCTTGCAATGCACGTATGATATTAAAATCCGGTAGCTAAGATCTTAAGCATGGGAATTTATGTCAAATGAATATATGCGGCCACCGCTTCATATCAAATTCTCAACGCGTTGCCGATGTGCTTACGCTTCGACATGGTTCATGTCTCTAAGGTAAATATTATGTGTGCAATGTATGGTAATTTAATGATTTTTGCTTTGTATAAATAGACACATTCTCAATTCACATAAAACAATCAGTCGACACAGACACTGGCTCAAATAAATAGGCGCAAATTGCTCAATTTTATCCACTTTTTTTTGAATGAGATGAAAATAAAACAAGTGAAAACCAAACACATACTCACCATAAACAATTGGTCAGTGCCAACAGCAAATCAAATTCGAATTCAATAAAATCGCAATAGGCGGAACTATAAAAGAGATATTTGCTCAGATGTTATGCTGGAATCGGCATTTTTCGGAGATTTTCTTTGTGTTTTTTTTTTAATTTTCTACAAGTTTCTTTGTTAAAAGGTGAGTACACATGTAGTAAAGAATTACTGTACAAATCCGATGATTGTGTCCATTATTTCGATTCAAACAATTGATTTAAACACTTGTTTTGGCAAATTGGCGTCCGATCTACTCGGAATGTCATACAGATCTAACCGAAAAAAGTACAATAGAATCAAAGAACAATGCATTACTCTTTTCATTACAAGTGAATCAGAACATATTTTCGGCCACTTAAAAATTGTGTATCAAATAACCATTAATACTGGATTGGTAAGTAAATAATAAGCGATATATATTCCAAGATAGACTTCATAATACTCGTTGAAAAAAAAGAGAAGCCGAACAATTTATCGATTTCAAAGTGTTCTTTTTTGTGTGTGTGAAATCGCTTCATCATGCATGAAATCTTTTCAAATTTCACACTAAACCATTATTCACAAAAAATGTAACGCACCGTCCGCAATGCATTGTGAGCAGGGCCCCCGGTACACACAGACTTTCAAGTGCCGACACAAAATCGAGAAAGAATCAAGAATATATCGATCTTTGCTCTGTCATTTCGCTGAAAATGAAAGAAAGCTATACATGCCTGGTAGGTTGGTTGGTTGGTTGGTTGGTTGCGGGCTCTTTCGTTTGTGTTTGTTTAATTTGTTCAATTATCGGGTATGTTTTGAACCGAGGTATAAACATTTACAGCAGCCGAATGGACAAGGAAGACAATACCATCGTGTTTTCAGTGGGAAAATGTCGATCAAAAGATATAAAAAAGAATGAAATTTCAGTTTTGGTTTTTTTTTTGCTTTAAATTGTGTATCCAATGGATAAATTTCATGAACATTTATTGAATTCTTGTTTCGTTGTTGTTTTTCTACTCTCTTTTTTTTCTTCGTTTTTTTTTTCTTGTGTGATTTTTTTTTTGGGATAAATGATTCGAATAATAGGCTCTACTTATGCATTCTCATTCAACCACTACACGTTACATTGTAATAATAATAATAATCTCATATTGTTTTGCTTGCTTCTTCCGTTAAGTGAGCTATTTAAAGAGTGATTAAACATTCAAATAGTATTCTCTATAATTCTAAATTAGACACAGGTTGTTCGTTTAAATTCAATTTACACATTCTTCTCTAATTTCAATTGCTAAATAAGTACAAATCAGTTTGTCTCCTGGATGATTCGCTATTGCAACTTTGTTTTCTTCTTGTTTCATTCTTATATAAGATAATTAAGATCAAGATAGGTTGCTTCTAAATTTTACAAATTATTTACATTCACATGCTTAAACACTGGGATTTTGTTACATTTGAATGTTTTTGCCCATTTTGTTCATTCATTAATTTATTAATAATAATAGAGTGTAATCAAGCTAAAAAAATTAGCATTCCTGAATGAGTGTATGTATTTGTTTCCTCTCTGAAAAAAAAAAGTTCACTTCCTCTCTAATAAAAACAGACTTCTCTCTATCTCGACACGAATAAATAATAAAATTCTATACTCTTCTCGTCCAATGGACACGAACTATTTGAAAATTGAACTGACACAATGATGAATATGAGTGATTTCACTTCCGACATGCGAATGAATGAATAGAAAAAAGAATACGCATACAAATTGGTGGGTTTACCTGTCAGAATATGAATATATTCCGAACAAGTTTAGTTGCTGTTCTAGAATATGGAAATCTGAAGACCATTCTCTACTGTACGAAAAAACACACAAAAAGAATTGGCTGTTTCAATATAATTAGTTCATTATATCATTAGTGAAGCGGGAAATATTTAATACAATCCATATTATTTAAGTGCTCATAAATTGCAATTATCGATCACTCTCTCTCTCTCTCTCTCTCTCGCTCTCTTTCTTCCCTTCATCTCTTTTTTTTTCTTCCTTTCTCTTCTCTATCTGCATCCATTCACGGAACACGGAATATATTAATCTAAATTAATCAAATTTTCGAAAAATAAAAAAATACACTCTAATATCACATTTCGAGCAAAGTAGTCAGTGGATTCGATATCGGCGATTCCGGATGGTTTGGATTCAAATGATGCTGTTGCTGATGGTGTAAGTTGAGTGTGTGATGCATCATACTTTGGTTGAAATAAGCGGCCGATGGTTGTAAACTGGTTAATGCCGCCTGATTCATCATAAGCAGTGGATAAACGGCGGCTGGCGATAAATCGAAACCCATCGAATGCGGTGGATACGGCAAAAACGGAAGGCCGGCTGCCACATTTCCGATCTCTTTTGGCAAATCTAAATGATGCTGAACATGAAGCTGTTGCTGCTGTAGATGCGGATGACAATGAGGTGAATGCATCGATGATGGTAATGGTAATGCTTGATTTATTGGTGGCAATCGCGTTGGTACGGTTCGCACAGAATTTTGCCGCTGTTGCAACGGATGATGTTGTGAGCGAATTTCATTTGAATTGGTTAAATTGGTATTGCCACTATTTTTACGATGGACTTTATCGGCCTTTTTATCTGGGGTTATTAGACTTTCGATGGTGAATGCACGTTTTGGCCGCGATTTTGCGGTTTGTATTTTGGCGGGTGTATTTGTGGTGATGCTGGGCTCGGAGGTGATGATTGGCGGTGATTCTGGTGTGAGAGGTCGCTTTGGTGATGCAATACTTGGCGACGTTTGAGCTGAGATATCCGGAGTAATATCGGTGCGATCGTCCATTGGCATCATTGGATCGGACGATGGTTGGAAGAAGAACCGATTTATATTTGCCAAAGCGGCCAATTCGTCATTCAAAATATCCTTTTGGGTTTTGTGCAATTTGAAGCGTTTTCTTCGTCGTAGCAAACTACCATTTTCAAACATATCAAATGCTTGCGGATGCAATGCCCAGTAGGCTCCTTTGCCAGGCCGATCTGGACGCCGTGGTACTTTGATGAAACAATCGTTGAAACTGAGATTGTGTCGCAATGAATTTTGCCACCGTTGTGTATTCTTGCGATAGTATGGGAAGCGATCGGTGATGAAGCGATAGATTTCATTGAGCGGTAACATTTTTTCGGTTGAACTCCAAATCGCCATTGCGGTCAGTGAAATGTATGAATACGGTGGCTTCTGATCACCGTACGATTCACGTGATGGTCGCGGCATTTTTTTTCTTGTTTTACTTTGATTCCTTCTTCTTTTTTTCAATCAGATTGCAATTTTTCAATTATATAATTTGAACTTGATGATATCTTTTTTGAACTTTTTTTTTCCGATTCGTTGTTAATTTTGTTTTAACTTTTCATAATTCAAAACATTGAAATGCATTTGCGATTGAATACTTCACAAAAGATAACACTTTTTGCGTCGTTTATTTTATAACTCTTACACAAGAGTGTTTTTTTGTTGTTATTTTTTTTGTTTTGTTTTATTCCACTTGAAGATAATCCCTTGACTGTTCGTTGAACTTTAAACCATCACGAATATTGAACAATTTTATTTGAAACACTTTAATTCCAAATTCAGTTCGTAATATTTGATCGTGTCGTTATTGAATTTGGTTGGCGAAGCAGAGCGCACGATGAATTTCGATGTTCCGACTTGCGATCTTAGTGACGACAAAAACAGATTTAAGCACACAACACGACGAAAAGACGCATCGACACTTCAATTGTTTGTTATAGACTAGTTCTGCTGTAAACACCGCATAGCAGAGGTGTTGAAATCCAAATTATATCTGCTTTTTTTTTTCTTCTGATAAACAAGGCGTGCATGTGTGCGCTACGGTTGTGTGTATTCGTTGTGCGAGTGTTTGTTATGGACTGTGTATTGTGCAGCAACAGAAGCATCATCGGGTGCCCGTATATTGTTGTATGCGTGTTTGTTATGTGCTCTCTGTTTCTCTATCGTTTCCTTGTTTGTTTATTCGTGTTTCGCTTGCGTGTATACAAACATACACAATCACGGGCCCCGAGTATGTAACACCGTACATTTGTACTGTGGTGTTGTGTATTTTTCCCGTTTTTGTTTAATTCTCTATTCGTTCTCTTTTCCATTTCCATCGCGTTCGAGAATACACGTTGCAATTGGATCTCGTCGCAGTGCGTGTGTACGACTGGGAAAGAATGTGTGTGTGTGTGTTAGCACAGTGAGAATGGCTCACTGCTTCATATTGTTTATTGTACGCGCACAATCAAACTCGTTTGTTCGCTGTGTGTTTCCCATGCAGAGAAGGTTTGTTTTTCCTGGAAGGGAGGAGCTTTGGCCATGTGTAGTGGAAATCGCTACGTTGTCATTGGCTAACGCTTTGGCATCAGTGCTAAAACAAACTGTTGTGGTGGTGCTTATACAGCGTACGATACGTTTACATAGCTCTTTGATTACACAAACAGGTTAAAGTTTGTTTACATGTGTATCAAGCCTTCAACAAAACCACAATTGTTTATATAAAATGTTACCATTTCTCGCCACCTCGATGGAGAAAGAGCGAAACGGTCGAAATGTCTGCACACACGAAGCACACATGGACGGTGTTCTTTGGTGTTTGTGTATCGCATTACAAACAAGAAGGAAATGGAAATTAAAGCGAAAATCAATATTTAGGAAAATAAATTATTGTTAGCGCTCTTTGAATTGCACTTTTTGTTCGGCGGCCAACGCAAAAGTGGGTTCGTCTTAATCCAAAACTCTTCTCGTCTAGTTTCTGCTAAATTGTTTGGTTGTCGTTGTTGGCGGCGACGGCAGCAGCAACGGTGGAGTCGTTCTCAAAAACCCAATCTATTGCTGTATTGCGTTTACATTTCGATTGGTGTGGCTCCTTCAAATATTTATGTTGCTTTTCCGCAAATCATTAGTTTCAATGTTGTTCGAGTATTTGTTGCTGCTGTTCACCATTTGGAAAATTCAATTATTCTCATTCGGATATTCATTTTGCTGAAATGATTTGGAAAAACCGACATATGCGATTAGTGAATGTCTGCACCAACAACTAGGATCATGTTTTGTTCGGCTTTTGTTTTAACCTTTTCTTTTCATTTTTGTGAAAAGAAATGGTTTTTTCAGCCGTATGATGACCGTTATGATCTGAGAAAATATTTGTTTCAGAAGAGTGAGTCTCACAATATACGCATTTCATTCAAATTCTGCCACATTACACAGTGGCTGAAATGATGACACTCAATGGAATGTTTCAAATTATATATTTGATTTGGTGATAATCCTATTTCCATTGTAAAAGCCTGTCAAATATCGAAAAATGTGTGGCGTCACGTTTTGAACAATTGAATAAGAGCAATGGAACGAAAGAGAGTCAAGTTATCGTGTTAAAATCCAATATTATAACAGCATACGATATTAATCAATCATTTGCTATGTATTATCCACTTAATTTATTATAAGCGCCGAAAAATGCGGTCATTATTACGACTTCTGGAAGCCGATGTGTTTGGGACGGATGATAGATGAAAACCGTCATGCATGTCCATATCCAGCGAATAATAATAATAATGATTTGGAAAACAATGCCTTTTCTCTGGTGTAAAACTGACTTTATCGTCAACCAATCACCTCGTACCTGGATATGTGGAATTTTTTGGAAAACATTTGTTAAAATGAAACACATCTACACTCTAAATTGGAATAAGTTGTAATTAAACAATTTGCTCAACCTAAATTGCGAGTCGGAAAAAATGATGAAAAAGAAAAAAAAACTATTTACGTTTATTGAACGAGAGAGAGAGAATGAGAAAAAACAACGGAGCATTGCTGTTTCACATGGTAATGTAAATACGTTTCCATTTTATTTATATTGATCGTGGCTTCTGTAGAGAAAAAGCTATAATTCTGTCAAAAAGATTTGAGATAACCTCGTTTTCATGTCCAATTGCAATTAAAGCGTCAAAGACTTGAGTGACGTGTCAGTGTTTTATGTCACGGCCAATGAAATTGTTTTTCCCTCGAATTCGTTTTATAGTTTACTTTGAATAGAGAAAATGCCGTCGGAATGAATGCCAAAGCCATTTGAAAATTCAGATTATTTTCACATTGAAACCAATTTCTGAAATTAAATTTTAATTACAGTTTTTTATTGTTTTGGATCTTCATATTTGGAGAATATTTTATCGAAAATTGATCATCAAAAATACAACAAAAGTCAATTTCATGATGAAATTCTCATTGAATGAAAACAGTTGAATCAACTAATTTTGACAGTAGCCGAATTTTATTCGATCCAATGACTATATCATTGCTACATTTCCGTACAAAAGCGGCTTTTGTAAAGCCCTTAGCTACAAAACCTTATTATTTTGCGTTCATGAACAGTGAGATCGTTTGAATTATCATTATTGAATTGATTGGATAATGGATATCATGTTTTCATTTGGTTGGCACATTATTGTATTTTTTTTATGTATCCATAGATGTATATCAGCGTCATCGTCTATCATCAAGTGGCATGTGCTCGCTTCGCTTTGTTGTTGTTGTTCTTACTCATTTTATGTTCTTTTCATTCGGATAATTGCTCTGTTAACAAAGAGTTTAAAGAACGGATCCATTTTCAATCTGACATAATTACGTTAATATTTAATGTAATTTGACATTTAGTTGCAGCGAGAAAGAGCTATCAACGAAACAAAGTGGTATGTGATTAAAAAAAAAAGAGGAACAACCATTGTCTATCAATCGAATTGACTCAATTCAAATCGAATAAAAGACGACATGGCAAAGGAAAATAGTGTCAGAAGATAGTAAAAAAGGAAAGAAGGCGACGACGGTGACGGTTACAGTAGCAACAAATTGCTTACATTGAAGCCTCAATTAATTGAATGTATATGGCATTTCATGAGTATCACTTTTATTGCTATACACTCGAAGTAATGTGTATTCCTTCACCGTGTATTTATGCTCCGATTAATGGGCGACATATCCAAATGAAGTTCACTTTAGTCCTCTTGACAATCGTAAAAAAAAGACGAGAGAACAGCAATAGCACAATTTGTCGCCAGTGAATGAAATGGGTAGAAAATGCATACAATTTGTATGCATTGCACATAAGCTGTGTGCCACTGTTCGGCAATTTATTTGTCGGCATACAGGAAATCGACCGCAATACGTTGGGGTTTTCTTCTTTGCTCTCTATTTTTTCGTTTTGCTCTCTCACACACTCTCTCTCTCTCTCGTTTGCGTGAAGAGGTTGGTTGATAAAGCGCAGCCAAATGTCGGTACGTTTGAAAAAAAAAGCAACAACAACAACACACCGAAAATTTTCTTCGCTCAGCATTTATGTTCGGTGATTTGCTAACAGGCCGAATGTGGCAAGCAGCTAACCAATTACATTAAGATTGGAACGTATCGTTCGGACAAACTGAATACAAACGAGCCAGAGAGAGGGAGCCGAAAGAGATTCCGCACATATTCAACACACAAAAGTGCAATAATAACACCACAACCGTAGAGTACGACACGAGAGAGAGAGAGTGAGTGAGTGAGTGAGTGAGTGAGTGAGCGAGAGATTGTAATCTTGTTAAGGCATCATAATAATAAACAATACCCACAACAATATGTTATTACGAGCATTATAAATTCATAAGAGAGGAGTAAAGCAACAACAACAACAACAATAGCTAAAGAACATTTTACATGCTGTGTATTTGTGTGTTGGTTCCATTTGTTGGAGCATCGTACACTCTTTTGTGGGCAATGCTGAGTGTATTGTGTTTTTTTTTCTCTCTCGTTATTCGCTCGCATTCTCTTCATGAAAATGTTTTTCGATTATACACTTTTTAAGTACTCTATTTAAATCGGTTTTTGGCTTAAGTTTCACGCCGCCATACCGACAGAGTGTTCTGTACACAAAACTAAATGACTAAATGGGGCTTACTGGTAATTGGCACAAACGATCCTACACTATACGTATAGATGAACAGTTTTGTTTGCATTCAAAACACAAATTAAATTCAAGCATATTCATTTGACTAATTTTCCGCTGGATATCTGATCTTCATCTAGTTTCACGCCAAATTAAAAAGTTGTTTTATTGAAATTTACACTCAGATTGTCAGATACTTACACTCTTCTTTTCTTGCATGCCCTATTCCAAGTCGTTCATTGAACACGGCATTCAATTATGGTACTTTCGTGCGCGGCAAAAGCACTAAAATTTGCTAATCCAGCCATTGTGGCAAATGACTTTACAATCGTCTTCATGAAAATTCACTTAAATTGAAATTTTAAATATTGTTTTGGTATCGATGTGTTTTTTTCATTTATCTCACACATCGATACACATCGATATGAGCGATGTTAACAAAAAAAAACGACAACAAAGAGCTGCACAAAAATCATTTACACTTTGAATCTTACTAATAATAATAATCGATCGGTTTAACAGAGACACAGAAGTGCAACGTTCAGGGTAATGTGAAGCGTCGCGCGCGCGCGCCTTGCGCACACGAGAGAGACGAAGCACATGCTCGAGGCATTTTTGCATAAACATTTTCAAACGGTGATGAAGTTACGGCATACCGACTCGATGTTAGTTACGACTTTTTAGTCTATTCACTTTATTAAATAATATTCGAAATGGCATATTACGGCAAGCGCGTAGAAGGTGACTCGCCGGTCGGGTCGTTCTCTCTGAGCTTTTTTTTTTCTCGCGCGCGCAATGTA